ACACACACACACACACACACGCACGCACACACACACACACACACACACACACACACACACACACACACACACACACACACACACACACACACACACACACACACACACACACACACACACACACACACACACACACACACACACACACACACACACACACACACACACACACACACACACACACACACACACACACACACACACACACACACACACACACACACACACACACACACACACACACACACACACACACACACCCACACACCCTGGCACACGCTGGCGCACGCTGGCACACGCTGGCACACGCTGGCACACGCTGGCACACGCTGGCACACGCTGGCACACGCTGGCACACGCTGGCACACGCTGGCACACGCTGGCACACGCTGGCACACGCTGGCACACGCTGGCACACGCTGGCACACGCTGGCACACGCTGGCACACGCACACGCTGGCACACGCTGGCACACGCTGGCACACGCTGGCACACGCTGGCACACGCTGGCACACGCTGGCACACGCTGGCACACGCTGGCACACGCTGGCACACGCTGGCACACGCTGGCACACGCTGGCACACGCTGGCACACGCTGGCACACGCTGGCACACGCTGGCACACGCTGGCACACGCTGGCACCACGCTGGCACACGCTGGCACACGCTGGCACACGCTGGCACACGCTGGCTGGCACACGGCACACGCTGGCACACGCTGGCACACGCTGGCACACGCTGGCACACGCTGGCACACGCTGGCACACGCTGGCACACGCTGGCACACGCTGGCACACGCTGGCACACGCTGGCACACGCTGGCACACGCTGGCACACGCTGGCACACGCTGGCACACGCTGGCACACGCTGGCACACGCTGGCACACGCTGGCACACGCTGGCACACGCTGGCACACGCACATACCACCCACACCCACTCTCACACCCACGCCCACACCCACACCCACACCCACTCTCACACCCACGCCCACGCCCACGCCCACACCCACTCTCACACCCACGCCCACGCCCACGCCCACACCAACACCCACACCCACACCCACACCCACCACACCCACCACAGCCACACCCACCCCCACCCCCACACCCACACCCATTCCCACACCCACACCCACACCCACACCCACCCACCGTCCCACCGCCATACGCACACGCGCACACATCATGCGCACGCGCACGCAACACGCGCACGCGCACGTGCGCGATCGAATGCGGCCGCACCCGCGCACCCGCGCAGGCACGCGCCCACGCACACGCACGCACACGCACGCACGCGCGCGTGCACATGCGCACGCACACGCGCACCCACACTCACCCACACCCACCCACACCCACACCCACAACTTCACTCACACGCACACTCACACGCGCGTCCACACGCACACGCACAGAGACAGAGACGCAGAGACATAAACTTAGACAGGGACAGCATACCCACACACACCCAACGCATGGGCAGGCTCATTCACACGTGCACTGAAATACACGCCAGTCTTGCGCGAACCTGCATGCGGACCTGCGCGAACACGCACGCGCGCACGCGCAATGTGAGAGCAACCTTTGCATTCTGTGCTCCTGCCGATGGCAACGTGCAGCAAAAGAGCCGACACTGCACAGCATGGGCAACGCTGCAGGATGCGGAAGCCAGCTCTGCAGACTGGCTCTTGCTCCCTAACGATTGGCAGCGGCATGCAAAAGCGCAGGTTCGCGCGTAGAAGGCAACGTGCAAAAGGAGCGATTGGAGCAATGGCATAGCTCAGTGCAACATGATGCATGTTTGCCACCCAGGAACCAGCAGGAAGAGCTTTGCCGCCTTTCAGAATATCACTTCAATGTGCTAGCCAACTGCATGCGAGAGCTTTATGCTTCTTTTGGAGAGTTGAAGAAGGAGAGAGCGCAGGCAAAAAGAGTCTCAAGATGCAAGTTGAGTACAGCAAGGCAGAATGCCAGGCATTGGTAGAGCCGTTGCTCTTGATTCTTCTCTGTTTTCAAGACATTGCGCAGTCACGAGCCAGGAGCAACAACCTGTGCTCACGCGACCGACAAGCAGAAAGGGCACAGCACAAAAAGCTGAGCTCGGCTGCAACTCTGCCACGAGTTTTTCACGCCGCGCGGCCGAATTCAGCAAGGCCGTGGCATATCAGCAAGGCCCCAAGGCCCTGGCCTTTGGGATTCCGCTGAGAAACGAACAACATGTTTGCAATAGAACTGTTCAAGTTTTGCTTGCAATTCAATAATTATGTTTCCAGGAAGCACAATTTGAGCTATAGTATTTTCATGTTGTTCTGTTGGGGGAACGCATTTTGTTCTTTCAAGGCATCATGTTTAGTGTTTATGGCTGTTGCTAGCCGCACTGACATATTCTTTGCGGATATTAGAAGGCGCATATCGCTATCATGGTCATTTCTTTGCAGCAGAGTCTTTTTGCAGCTCGTGCAAGTCTGGCAGTTTGTTGAGCGAGCCACAGGGCAGTCTGGCAGTCTGTTCCTGGAGCTCGTGCAAGTTTGCGCCCCGAGGCCATCGCGCGGGTCGGATCCAGTCGATGAGCTTCCAAGGGCACTGGCCGCGTTTCGTGAAGCGCGATTCGCGCGTAGCAAGAGGTAGAAGCTCAAGCTGACAAGCAAGCTGACAAGCCGAGAAGCCTGTTTCTTTGTTCCTTTTTCTTACCCTCGCTCGAGGGATCTTCCTCTGGAAAGGCCGCGTCAGCGGCGCGCTCGATATGCTCGCGCACGCCCACTGGAGCGTAGATACCAGACCGTCGACGAGCAAATTCGGCCCCGATGCGTTTGTCATGCCGGCACGAATGCCGCCTTCGATGTGAGACGCATTTGGCCTTCGTGCCCTCGTTGCGCTCATTGTTGGTGAAGGCTGAATGTGCAGACCGGTGACGAGATATTTCTCCACTGCCTCCCCAGAAGTCTGTGGAAATGGCGTGCCCCAGCAGCCCGGAGCTAGCTACGTAGCGGGTGGCCAAGGCTGAAATTCTCAGCAACAAAACTGGAAAGCGCCTGGTGAGCTTGCGAGACTTTCAGCTTTTCGTACTGCTGGGGCAGCCAAGCAAAGCAGGACAGAGTCCAGAAGCAAGTTTGAGTGATTTGAGGAAAGACTGACATGTAGATCGGAAACACGCTTTTGAGTTAGTTAAAACAACAAAACAGCAAATCAATATCAACACAACAACTTTTCAGACAGATATGTGTGAACACGCAAACCAATGGACTACTGACAACAACACGTGAGCATACACAACATGTATTGGCTTTTGCGCTCAGATTCGTTTGTCTAGGATTCCAGGCCGTGTTGAATCGAGCTTAGTGGGGCGCGATTACGGACATGAGGCCGCGAAATGTCGACCATCTCCCTCGAGTCGGCCCACTACGGCGTTGAGCAGCCGAACTGCTCTACCTTAGACACTGACGAGATTGAGGTGTCCACCGGCTGAAGCGAACGGAAGTAAACAGGGAAAGAAGGGAGTAAGAAGGCCTTTGGGATCTTTTGGGAGCCTCTCTGAGGAAGCAGATCAGTTCCATCTCTTCAGATCCGGACCCCAAGATGCTCGAGCAGCCGCAGCGATCACCCTTCAAAGACGGGGAGGAGGGTGATGCTCTTCGTTCGTATTCCACACCTGAGAGTAGGCACCCTGCCAGCAGATGTTGTTCCGCTCACGGTTTAAGGAGCAATGTCACGTGGTTCGCCCGATCAGATCATCTTTGTTCAGCTTGAATCGCATTTGAGAATCTGGAAGCTGCAGGTCGGAAAAAGGATCGGAGAAAGAGTTCCAACGCGCTGATGATATCATCCGGCTTGCGCTGGAGACGCTGGAGCGTAGCATGCGTGCTGCCACAGAGGATGCACTGCGAAAGGCAGCCGAAAAAGTGGAAAACGCGCTGCAGGTGGGCAAGTTCGAAAACGACTCCAACATGCTTTGTTCATGCCAAAAGTGCTGACTGCAAACTCTGCGCAGGGCAAGCCGTTATCGCCAGTTGAAAGGAAGCAGGACTGGCCACTGCTGAGTTCACATGATGTTTTTGCCATTTGATGTGGTTCTTCAGCTTGTAGCCAGCCAGTGGTTCTTCGGAAGCCACGGATTTCCATAAATTCTGCAGGAGACGCGAGCGAAACGCCCCTCACGCTTCACAGGCTTGCCGGGCTTCCCTGTGGTTGAGCCCTTCCAATTCAAGCATTTCGGAAGGCGGGGAGTTGGGGTTTCCAAAGTGACGGTCCGGTTCTCAAGCGTCTCATTGGAAGACATGGGCTGTCTTATTTAAGGGCTGCCGCCCAGTGCCGCCGACCCCTCCGCTGGGGGCCAGCCCAGGTTTTTTTTTGTTCTGGCAGCGGCTTTTGGCTGGTTCAGGCTTGCTGGCTTGCTGGCTTGCTCGCTCGCTCGCTTGATTGTTTGCTTGTTTTCAGCGCTTTTCCAGGCCGCGCTCGTTTGCCCACACAGCGAGCACCAACCAAAGGAGCGCTATATGGAAAGTAGACAGCAATCGGTCCCCAGGGCGCAACCAGCAAGAACAGCTTCGCGTCCAGCGCGCTTGGAGGCCGCACTCGCTTCGCTGCAGCGAGCACGAACCAAAGGAGTGCGCCGGCAGCCTGCTCCGCCGCGGCCGAGTGCCTAACGTCGCATTTGAGTCCAACATGCAGCAAAGCTATCGGTGCAGAGGGAGCGGCCAGCCACAAAAGCTTCGCTTCCCGCGCTTTTCCAGGCCGCACTCGTTTGTCCACAGCGAGCGCCAACGAAAGGAGTGCGCCGGCAGCAGAAAGGAAAAGGAAAGCAACCAAAGGAGTGCGCAGAAAAGGAGAAAAAGGAAGAAAAAAGGCCGTACGGGCGGGCCGCGAGAGAGCTTCAGCGCTGAAAACTGTGCCCTGCAGGTGTTCGAGCGCTGTTTTAGGCCGCACTCGTTTGCCACAGCGAGCACCAACCAAAGGAGTGCGAAGACAGGCCGAACGGGCTGGCCGTGACACAGCTTCAGCGCTGAAATCTGCGGCCAGCAGGGGTTTGAGCACTCTCGGCCTTCTCAGCTCAAGGGCAGTTGGTGTAGTGGTATCACACCCGCTCAGCATGCGAGAGGGGCTGGGTTCAATCCCCGGCCTGTCCATGCCCATGTGCGCCTGCGTCTGTCACAGTTTGCCTCTCCCTGGTCTTTCATCCCTTTGGGTTTGCTGTGCGTCTTGCCAAGACCGGCTGGTACGCCGCGGCCGGGTGCCGAACGTCACTTTTGAATCCTATATAGAAAGTAGAAAGCTATCGGTCCCCAGGGCGCGACCAGCAAGAACAGCTTCGCGTCCAGCGCGCTTGGAGGCCGCACTCGCTTCGCCGCAGCGAGCACGAACCAAAGGAGTGCGCCGGCAGCCTGCTCCGCCGCGGCCGGGTGCCTAACGTCGCGGCTGAGTCCAATATGCAGCAAGGCTATGGGTCTAGAGGGAGCGGCCAGCCAGAAAAGCTTCGCTTCCCGCGCTTTTCCAGGCCGCACTCGTTTGTCCACAGCGAGCGCCAACCAAAGGAGTGCGCCGGCAGCAGAAAGGAAAAGGAAAGAAAAGAAACGAAGAAGAACAAGAAAAAAGGGAAAGAAAGAAGGCTGGTAAGGTACAGGGCTGAACGGGCGAGGGCGAAAGGGAAGGGAGAAGGCTGCCACAGTCACGCTCCAACGCTAAACGAACACTCCCCCAGCGCCTTCCCCTTGCAGGCAGGGGGTCGGCGGATAAGCGGCATGCAAAGATCAAGCAAACCCTGCAGTGCCAATGTATCGCGCGCGGCATCCTTCTCGCGGTTGTCTTCCCAAGAAAGAATCAACCTGCCGGAAGACAGCACGGGCTTTGCGAGAAAAGTATCAGAGGGGAACGCAATGCCCAGCGAGAAGCCGGGCATCAGCGTGCTTTCCGATGAGATGAACAGTATTTGGTCCTATGACTAGCCATGAGACGTGATTTTGGGCCGCCATGCCTATCTGTTGTACCAGTGCGAGCTCGATCCGTTTCAAGCCCTGCGAAAGAGCGCTTGGAGACAGATGCAGAAACAGCAGCCAATATTGGAAGCAAGACTTCGTCGCTATTTGCATTTGGCTGTTACGCTGTTCAACTGCACCTCTCAGCTTCCCATTTGCCGAAGGCAGCAGGGAAAAGTCTTCCACTAATTTGCTCAAGCAGAGGCGCTCAGATTCGAGTTAGGTTTGGCGTCCCCGACCGTTTTTCCGCTTTTCACATGTGTTCACCCATTTGCACGGTGTGGTGGGCCTTGTCCAATCATCCAATTGCAAACGCTCAAGCCCCCCCGCCACACCAGTCTCCAAGGGATGCCAGACCAGCCTTGAGAATGCGCAAGTTACGACACTGACGGCTGATCTGGCTCCCTCGTTTCGTCTGTTTCCTCTAGGCACCCAATCGAGCGCATGGGAAGCTCGCGGAGATGGCCATGCCCTTGTGTCATGGCAAGCGCGGGTTTTCGTGATGCTGGCCATGATCACCCCACCGTGACCGTTTGACGTACCCCAAATGCATACCCGTGAGCCTGTCCACGATGTGCTTGTTTCATGACCGAAGCCAAAAGCAAACATGCCCGTGCTTACAGTGTTCTTTCATGCGCTATCGGCCCACAGTGCTGTGCTTCAGCAGCTTCAGCAGCTTGGTTTCCAGAGGCACTTCCCACATGTTCCATGGACTCCGCAAATGAGAAAAGTGGCCCGCTCGCGCATGGGCTCGGCACACATTGGTTCGTCAAGCTCCCCGCGCTCGCATCTGAATAGTTTGGTTCGCGCCGAGGCAGTACAGTGAGCAGTAAGGAGCGTGCCATGCCTGGTCATGAGCACCCAGCTCATGAGAGCAGCTGCACGGCGAAGTGACGGGTTGACATAGACATTCTAGAGCTTAGTTCAAGTTCGAGTGTTTCAGCAAACTGTTCCATTTGGTCTCTCCGTGAGTCATCCTGCCGTGCGCAGCTCGAACCGCTCTCCATGGGTCTCTTCAGATGGCCGTTTTGCTTCACATTATTTTTATTGGTGCTAAGTGGGAAGCTGGGAAGCTGGCTTGCACTTGTGCCATTGAGGAGACCAAAACGTGCATAGTGAGAAGTGCATGGAATGCAACTTCGCACGGATTGCTAGATGCCTCCCGCGTCGCTCTCGCTTCTGATTTCTCGCTTAAGCGAATCAACTACAGATATTCCAACTTCGCTGATGGATATTGGCTTTAGAGCGACTCCGGTGGCTGTAACGTTGCGTGACGTTGTGAGAGACCAACCGCATTGCAGGCCGTTGCTCGCATTTTCAGGCCACCTAGACTAGGACTACATAGGTTGAAGCTGTTGCGCTGTTTTGACCAGCATATCACACCACCAATAAATGCCTGGCGCTTTTTCTCAACACCTTGCCACAGTTTCGCGGACCGGAGGATGTGGGCTTTGTCCAATGCGATGGCAAGCACTGAAGGCCGAATAGGCGATTTCAAGCTTGCTGAATTGTCCAGACCACAGGCACATTGACAAGCGAAAGTCCAAGTGAGGTGTCTAGCAGTTGCGATATATGGCCCCTGAGGACGGGACACTGCGAAAAGGACTCCTGAAAGGATTAGCGATACCAGCTGGGGGCCCCGAAAGAAACATGTTGTGGCACAAGAATCGTCTGGCTGGTAAGTTTCACTCCATTCGAGCGTGGCGACAAAATGCATTCGTCAACATGGGCCCAGCACGGGAAGTCGCAACAAAGCTAGAAAGGAAAGTGTTTTTCAAAGTCCCTATAGGAACCCTTCAATACATCGACCTACATTGAACTACTAGTGAGCATGTGTTGCATGTTTTGCAGTGCCAACCTGGCTGTGCCAACCTGACCAGCCCACGCAGCTGGAGAGTCCTCCTGACGCTCCGCATCCCCAAAGCTGATCTGGCGTTGGTCGAGCAGGCGGGAGCCTCAAGCCGAGCCGGGCCATTGCGGGTCTGTGGTGAGCAAAGATCCGATTGCTGGCCCTGCTAGCCTTATTTTCGCCCAGGCAGAATCCGCGATTGCTGGGCTGTCAACAGAAGCAGATGTTCAGGCGAGCCTGCGACCTATCAAGCGTTGCCCCCAAGCATTCCAATTTCGGAATCCTCTTGTGCATGTTTGCCGTCTCTAATTAGTCATCAACGAAGGCCCGACATTTGAATCCCAAAGTTTGCCGGTAGCTGACTTGACAGAGTAAGGTGCTGGCTGCCTGCCTTCTTCAGCTTGCGGATCTTTCTGGGAGGAGCCTCGTTGCCTGCGCGCGCGTACGCCGCTGAATTGGTGCCAGGCGGTGCAGCTCGAAGCTGCTGGATGCGGTGTCAGAGCGGCTGCGCGGTTCAGACAGGCGGGAAGCGCAAGGAAGCGCAGTGAAGCGCTCTGAAGGGCTGAGAAGGGCTGAGGGTGCGTTCAGCTTGTTGGTAGTGGAAGCTGAGTTGGTAGAAGGCACGACCGCATGCGGGTAAAGGAGATGATGAGAGGCCAAAAGTGGAGGGGGACTTACTTCGCCTGGAGCGCGACACGGTTTTTTGCTGCGTTTCCCAGCTCTCTTGGGAAAAGGGGTTTGGGTCCTTTTCTTGGCTGCGGTTGTGTTGGATCTTGAACCTTTAACCCTTTTGGTTCAACATTTTCAAGCCAACAAGAGGTTCACTGGGTCTGAGTGAGAGCTTTCACTCCTTGGTTCATTCAGTCTTTCTGGGGATTCGAAGGCGCTTGAGCCTTTCCGAAGCAGCCGGCCTGGGATGGGTCTTTGCGCCCGGCGCCCGGGAAATGCGGAAAAATCCGAGGGACTTTGGGCCACTGAGGAGCGCGGCGCGTCGAGATGAAGAGGCAGGGGTGGGTGGGCTTGGTGGGGGCGGGGGGGGGCCGGGCAGCGGCCGTGAAACCCTTGCGGGGCAAGCATATGTTTTAAATCAGCAGCTAACTTCCACCGCAGTTGCAACCAGCAGGTGCTGCGCCACGTTCTCCCTGTGCTGGAAAGCAGGTGACCTGGGGAAGGGGAGGCAAAGTTGGCGATTTCCATCATGCAGTTGCCAAGGAAGTTTCCCGCCCGCTCGGCTCCAGCCAGCTAATTCAACATCTAAGCCACCACTGGCCAGAACAGAACGGGGTAGCTTCTCAGAGTTACACCACGAAGCAGAAAAGGGTTAGTTCTTGCACAGAATCGTTGATTGTGTGTGTGTTCATGTCTACTTGCACGACAATTGCATTGGACGGCCTCACTTTGACTGCCACTCGGCAGGTCACACGTCTTTGCCATTCATGTCATGTCATGTCAGACTGAGATTCTGCAGATTCAGGTCACAACATGGACATGACGATAGATGACCACAGGCAGCGATTGTTCACTCGGGTAGGCTTTGGGTGGCAAGCTTACTCAATTCAGGCAGCTGCTGATGGAGCCTTGCGTGTTGGAATTTAGCAGAAATTGCATGGTAGGCACCTTTGCATTTGGACTCTGGGGGGAGCAGACATGTGGGCAGGGAGCCTCAGCATGCGGAGCACTTTGCGCACAACTTGTGCATTGAATTGGTTGGTTCAGTTGCACGCACGAACAGGTCACGGTGCCGGCAGCAGCCACGATCCGCTGCGTCAAGCAACAACTGCAAGCTCGTCATTTGGGCAAAGCCTTCGGAGTCACCTTGGTTGCTAATCTGCGAAGCTGGTAGCAGTGATGTTCATGGATGTCGTGGCCTTCAGGGCTGTATGAGCGCAGCCGATCTGAGGCTCTGATTCACGAGGGCAAAGTGCTTGAAGACGACTTGGCCCTCCACAGCATTTGCTTCCGTCCGCTGCAGCTGGTTCCTCGCTTGCACACACACGGCTTTGAAGCAACTGTTGCAGAAGACTTGTCATTTTCTCCAGGCTTGTTTGCCATGAAGCATGACCTATCTTTCTTGGTGCTTCACGGGAGTCTTGCATCGACATTCCAGGTGAGCTGTCCTGCACGCATTGTGCTGGCGCACGTGCGCAACAAAATGGTGCTGTGGGATCCTTCCTCGTCTTGCCAGATGGAGGTGGCAACAGCACTTCCAGCCGTCACTGCCATGGCAGCAGATGTGCAAGGGCTCCGCATCATCATGGGCTTCTCCAACGGCCATTTGGCAGTCTTAGACTTGGCAAAGGGGATGCACCACATCACAAGATGCAACTTGGTGGCTCTTTGGGTTTGACCTTTGACCTGCAACTTTTTGGTAATGTGTATTGCCCCACAGCCAAGAGTTGATCCTGTTGCAAGAGCCAAAGACCAACCCAGGCAAGTGGACTCAGAAGCAGCCTATTTTTTCGCTGCACGCGTTCTGGAAAAGCGACAAAGCGGTAGTGGCCTGTGGGACGAAGTCCGCTTGGTATGAGATCTCTGATTGGAATCGCTTGCATTGCCTGCGCACCACGCGCCACCCTGGCTGCGTCATATCTGCAGCACTTGGGGGCGAAGGCAGGGAGTTGCCTGATGTCTGTCGTTTTTGTACCTGCGTCGTAATGTGGCGTCGGGGCATTTTTTGAATTCGCGAATCCAACTCGTAGTGCAGGAATGGCACACATGACCTAGGGCCCGAAACAGGAATCCGACTATTATTGGGACCGTGGTTTCTCTGCTACCTAGGCAAAGATCTGCTTGCAGTGATGCTTTGCCAAGACAGCGGGATCGTACTTTGTGACCAACAAAGACAGAGCCTGCAGCATGCGCCGCGTGCGACTGCCCTGGACATTGATTGGACGGAGCGCAAGCTGGTGGCAGGCTCGTAACGGGATGTTGAGTGAGTCGACTGTGTGACATTGGATGTTTGAGTGGTGACTTGACGCATTCGAGCAGTGGAAGGAAAGTCAACATAAGTCAATAGAGTCTGGAATTTACACAAGCCAAGCCCGAGCACAGGAACTAGCACCGGGGAGTTGGTCATGTGGAGCTTCGTCTCAGGAGACTTGATATTTTGCAGCCGGTCAATGAAGTTGCTGTTCTGGAATGGGCATTTAACCCAATGGTTGATCTTTGCGTCCCTGTTCAGGTAAGTGTTTCCGGGCTCGCAAGGACGGCTGGTCAAAGTGCATGACCTTGCCCAAGCACCACAGCTGCATGTTCGGGCCGTGGCTGCGAATTGGTCCGAGGAGTCAAGTTGAAGCTTTCAATCATCGCACCTTGATCTAAGTCCCCCTGACATGTCGCACTGTTTGTCCGTGACTTCAGTCGGAGATTCACTTCTTGCACTGACAGATTCGCTTGCTGATTAGATTTAACGCAGGACAGGGCTATTGCTGCCGGCAGGGATGGCTACCTGTGCGTATGGCATTTGACCTCCAGATGCTTGCTGGGGCCCTGGAGTATGCTGTGATCCTTGCATACCATTCATAGGTTGCCTCTGCAATTCTCCGAACAGCTCGTGGCTAACAGCTTCTTTCTCAGAATCTTTCCTTGGAACCTGCAACTATTGGAAGGACAGAGAGAGAACCATTCATTCCTGCTCCAGCTGATTTTCACTAAAAGCCCATAAATGCAGATGATTGACTGGAACTAGAATGGTTACATGCTTACCAACCCTGCTTCTTCTAAGCTAGATTTGGAGATGTGGGAAGAATGAAAACGGTGGAGGGAGAGACATCATGAATCACTATTTACATACCGGAAGTTCCCAGGCTATCTTGCATTCGTGGCCGGAAGCTGAGCACTTTGCATTTCAAGCAAGCTAAACATTGCCTGGCAGATTGGCTATTTAGCAAGATTGCAAATTGCACTTCGCTGTTTTTTGTTTCCACTTTGTCCAGCGCTTGAGGTCACCAGGACCTCATTTGGAAGATACACTTGCATGACAGCCACTTGAGCCGCAAACCGCGTTTCACGTGGGGCTTGCCAGTCGCGCAAAACGCGCGCCACTGAGGCTCCGTGGTGAGCTGCTCCTTTGACGGCACAATGAAGCTTTGGACTTTTCAGGCGGGCACAGACTTCGGAAAGAGGAAAGCTGAGACACGGTCCGAGTCCACGTTAGCCCGTAGGATGACTTCCGAGTCCTGAAGCTGGATGCTTGCCTCAAAGTGTCCCGGCCACGTTTGAACCCAGACACAGACATGTGCTTGGGCCAGGTGTCTTGCGCGCAGATGAGGTATGTTGGATAGAATGGTGATCTTTGCAAGCCCTGCTAACGTGCTTGCCCGCTGATGGTCGGTTCAACGAATCTCTGCCTCCAAGTTGAAAGTCGGTGGAACCAATGCCAAACTTGTTGCTGGCAGTGTGGGTGGGCTTCCGCATTGGTGAGATTGCTTTCCGGAAGGTAACCATAGAACCATATGCATGGCTTGCTTGCAACTTTTCTCAGGCAGGGAGCAAAGAACTCCTTGTGCTTGTGCAACCTGAAAAACAAACATGATAGATAATGCCTTGTCAATAATACAAGTGGCTCAGTGCTGCAGCACAGCGAATGCCACAAGGGAGCCATTCATCTCGACTGAGCTTGAGGCAGAGACGGGCAAGCAAATATCCCTAACATAGCACGTGCTGATTCTTAGCTAAAGCATGGCACCAGCTAGGGACAAACGTCTTTGCTAGTTGCTGCCATGGACTTCGGTGATGATGAAGCAACGTGGGGTGCCGAAGATGAGGTGGCTTTGCTGAGTTGAGTGTTCAGCCCAGTGTCAGATGTATAAGATGAGTAGTCACAAAGTCGAGGGAGCGTGCAGGCTTTTCTGTGTTTTGGATTGCTGAACTGGGTTCATGCCAAGGAAAGTGCACCTGCGGACAGGCGCTTGTTGTTCAGCGGGCTTGCCTTCGCTTGGACATTGGCCGCTGGACCTCACAAATGCTTGCAAAACCTGAGCTTGGCATTGCGCTCATGTGTGCTGCAATCTAACAGAGGCCACCACTGTTGCGATGTTGCTGCAAGCCACGCAGCCTGAGAAGGGCGCGCTTCGCCTGGAACACTTTAACGGCTGCTCGGCTAAGCCCCACTGATAGTTTCCGATGTGCAAAAGGGGTTGTCAGATAGCTGTTTCTGAGCTCTTGATCTTCCCCGAGTGTGCCTAAGGCTGGCAATTCATGATTTGCTGCGTTATCATATGGCATCACTACTGCGATCCAAACAACTTCGCGCAGATTGCCTATTGCTCAGTCACGTTCTTTGTCTTTTTCTCTGGCTTCGTTACCCAGCATGCCTATGCGGACGCACGGACTGCATTCAAGTTAGCACGTTATTGCACGGCCCTGACGATCGCCAGCTGCAGTCTGCATTTGAATGTAAGAGGCATCGCAAGTGCTTTGCCTGAGGACAAGATGGCCGGGCCAAAGGCAAACTTGCTTTCGTTCTACCTCAGACGAGTGGGCCGTGTCTTGCCAATCTACTACGGAATTCATTTCCTGGTTCTCATTGCCAACAAGGAGTCTCCAACGACAGATTTTCAGGACTTGTGAGCAGTTTGTCACAGTTGTCTCCCAGCAAGGTCAATAAGTATGGAAAGAAACTAAAAACACCCCATGCCGCACACACACACACACACCGGCGTAGTAAGATGTGTTCACATATCCCGCATGGTAGATTCATGCATGATTATCATTGTCCAGCTGTTTGTGCATGCATTTTAGAGGGGTTTCGAATTCCCTCCACTGAACATGTTACATGCAGTCTGCTGCACCTCGTTTCTCACTCGCAATATGGCGGACAGTTCGCTTGTACGGCACTTCACGGAGGACTCCGTGCTGATGCTTTGCACCTGGCACGGATCTTCCCCCTCCACCAACTTCCCCGCATGGACCGTCTGCGCCTTGTTCTGGCGCCTTGCCATGGATGTTCTAAGCTTCGAATTCAATTGCAGACGGCCTCAGTTGATTTGTTGCCTTTTTGGGGCAGCTTCGGATTTGACCGCGCAGGTGCTGGCTGTTTGCCCCGCTGCCATCCAAGCTGATCCTTTGGATCCGCCAAAGAAGCTCGGCAGAGATCTGTTCTCTTTCAGAGTCATGAGGGCATCATGTCAGGCTGGCATGTCTGCAGCTGTCAGCATGTCAGCATGTCAGCATGTCAGCATGTCAGCATGTCAGCATGTCAGCATGTCAGCATGTCAGCATGTCAGCATGTCAGCATGTCAGCTCCAAGGCAAGACAGACTTGGGTTGGAAGCTCACTGATGGAGCTTAGGTTGCGGAGCCAGTGCAAAGTATCCACTGGCGGTTTGGCTCGTGTTGGTGATATTGGGCACCCTAGATGAGATCTGGTCACGATTCGAGCCTTGACAACAATTTAGCTGCCTACGGATTCTCTCGGTCGCGGTCATGCGGGCATTCAGAGCCTCAAGGGCAGCGTTTCCATTGGGTCGAGGTTCTGCAAGATGAAGACATGGATCTTGACTTTTGGTTCTACGCCTCTTGGCAGCGTGCAGCCTGGAAGCTTGAGCCTGGCAAGCTGTTCCACTACCCCTCTCACATGGGCAACTCACTATACCAGAGTCTACACCATGAGAGGCCTCCGTTTTTCAAGTGCTATTTTGGGGAAACATATGATATTGTCAGGAGCTCATGTCAATGTCACAAGATGTTGCCCGACTGTACAGACCTTGTGGGAAAGTGATAGGCCAGGACAAAATTGCTCAGTTGGCTCCAACATGGTGGCCATTCCAGTTGGCCAACTTAGCTTATTTAAGGGACTGCGAAGTTCGTGCACACGATCATACTCCTGGCAGCGTTTGACCGAATGCCAAGGAGACCAAGCACAACGTCTTCATCTTTGCGCTTGGCATGGGCACCTGCGAAGTGGCCCAGCGCCTGCCGGCGCGAGGCCTTTGGAAGTGGTTCTGGCCCCTGTGGTGCGATGCCACCCTGCGACTCGGACTTGGGACAAAGCTGACTCGGTGGTGACTTCAGTCGTGACTTAGGCAGTCGCATCCCAGGCTAGGCACGCTGCTGGTCACTGCCACCTGGACCGCGACCGACGGCTTCATTTCCTGGGGCTCCACCTTCTGGAGCGGCTGCTATGCAGCTCCGACAGCGAGCTTCCGAGGGGCCTGAGCACTGGGACTTGAGTTTAAACAAGTTTAAACAGGTTGAGCCCGAACACACTCTCAAAGTGCCTAAGTTACGAGCATCGAATGTTTCGGCTGCCCCAGGCACCGGTGGCGGTTTGGGTCTTGTCCTCCACGCTTGGGCACCAGTCCCTGCTGAATCGCCTGATCAGCCACCGACACCTGGCTGGATGCAACTTGAAGCGCATGCAATCGCGACATTGTCTGGTTGAGGCCTGCTCAGATTGCTCGGGGAGTACACCATGCAGATCTACCTTTTGGCCAACCCGATACATGACCTGCTACCACAAGTAGATGTGTCCCTTGGCTTGAGGATGCTTCGGCCTGCGAATAGAAAGCAAGGCTCCGATTGCGAGCCATCCATTCATTCATGTATCCATTCCAATAGGTCGCAGCTGTATCTGGCCATCTTTGTGTGCTCCGTGGCGCTCACCGACCTGGTGGAGCGTCCCATGGCGGAGCGGCTCAAGCGGGCCACCGATGCTCTGCAAAGCACAGGCCAGCGCTGGACGTCCATAAGGGTCCAAGGGCTAGTGGTGAAGATCGCAAGTGGTTTGCCCCTCGCTTTGCAAGTTCTACCGGCGAAATGCCACGCAGCCCCCAACCTCGGCTCGGAATGTGGCATGAGCGCTCTACGGTGTCATTCCAAACAAGTCAGAATTGCAGTCTGGCGGCACAATATGAAGCAGGCGTTGAGGAAGGTGGTGCAATACGAAAGCTTCCAGGAGCATACAAATAGACTTGGAGAATTCTAGTAGCTTCTCGTGTAGCTCGCTTCTGACAGATTGCTTGCACAGCTGGCAGGTGCTCGGGAGGAGGATGGCAGTCTGCTAGCAGAGGGCGCGTGAAAGAAGCGATATGTCTCAAGTCTCTTGATTTGCTAGCCCTGTTTTTGTGCACGTGGGTGTGGCATTGTGATTAGGAGCTGCTTGCACGAGCATGCGCAGTTATGCCAGGGCAGGTTTACATGCTCCACCATTGTTCCGCCTGGTGAAGCTGCGACCTGAGTCAGCCACGAGCAGACATGCAAGAGCCATCCGACGTGCCCAGGCAGCTGAATTGGCAAAGAGCTGTGCCTGGAGCTGACCGCTTTTAGGTTTCAACTCCGCCGGTGGCGAGTACATGCCTAGATTCCTCATTAGCTGACACGTCGCTCGCCAAGAAGCACGTGGAGGTTTCGGGAGGCAGAGATGTTCTCCTTATTGAACCTGTTTATTTCTTATTGCAAATCGAAGCCTCATTGCCATATACGCATTTTCTGGGAAGAGACGGCACTCTGAAATGAGAAAGTCCTCAAGGCTTCAAATCTCCCTCAGGACTCGAGGTCCTGTCAACCTTTGGCAAGTGCTTAACAGCTCTCCCAGACAGATGCACTTGCCCTGCGGGTTGACAAACAGTTTTTGCAACCCAGGCACGGCAATCCGACTCTGCAATTGACTCCCAGCGCCGCATCGTGCGCTGGGAATCAGAAAGCTTGTGCCGACGATGCCGACGTTTTCACTGGGGCTTCCAAAGCCACTGTGCCACCCTGGAAACAACTATGATAGTTTTGACTACTGGGGCTCAATCATGATAAGCCGTCACGAGATGCGCCGTGCAGGGAATATGGAAGATCACGATTTCTTCCGCTGGAATGCAATTTGCGTAGGCCTGCGTGGCATTTTAATCTGAATCGCAGTCCATGCTGCTGCCATTTAGCTCCTGAGACGCTCCTGACACCGCTCTGTCGACTAAGGTGTGCAAAATGCTGGGGCGTAGACTCTGCCGAGTAATTCCGTGTTCTCTCCCTTGCAACTTGGACCAAGCACATTCTATGTCACTTAATCTCACGAACGGTCCAAAGACTGCGCCTCCAGCCTGGGCCCGACGTGAAGCTTTGGGCCAGCATCGCAGCCTTGGAGCCTGGCACCGCCATGGCCATGGTGAAAGACGGGTAGTCGACTGGCGGATTCCTGCGTCCAGGGACAAACTCAAAAGCTTCGACCCTCTCAAAAACAAATATGAAGCGTGACATTGCATGAGATCGATGTTTGGTGTGGTTGATCCTGGGAAGTCTTTGCCAAAGAGCAGCTCGGATGACTCTTTTCATACTTGAAAGTGCTGCGATTGTGAAAGGAGGCTTTGCTTCACCAACATGACTCATGGCATTTATCTCACAGCTTCAAAGCTTCTCGCTCTCTTGTGATTCATGCAGGCCTGCGGAGGTTCGGCATGTGGCAAAGCTAGCGACGGTTTGCAGAGTCTTCGAGGCTGTGCTGCATTTACACAGCATCATGAGAGGAGTGCGGTGAGCGCCAATGATCTTTCTGGGGCATGGTGGGCTGCACGCAATGCATAGATCCCTTCGCATCAAGTGCTTCAAGTGGTTTGCGCTTTGAAGATGCTTGAAGCAGGTTCCCACATCTATCTCAGCAAAATGGCTCTTGCCGGAGGCTTGGGATGTGGGACATGGAGCACGCCGCTCAAGGTTCTTTGTGTCTTGTGGCAAGCGGCTGCAAGCGGGGGAGGCCTCGCAGTTGGTGATTCGCGGTGATAGAGACTGGCCAAAGGCAGGGGTGTAATATGCCCTGGTGTGAGCTGCTCGCGTGGTGCTCTCATGTCCTCCCTTTGGTGGTCCCGCGGTCTTTCTTGGTCTGCAAATCACCCCAAAACGTCAACCCCGAACCAATCCTAAATCGGAAATTGAACTGCGCTACCAATCCCAAACCAGCCCTGAACCCCCTCACACCAACCGCAAGCAAACCAACACACCAAACCAAACCCATAGACCAACTGTAAATGAGCCCTAAACAGCAACCCTGGACCAACTTAAACCAATCCTGATTCTGCCCCATCCTGTCTCAACTCTGAACTATTCCTCAACCTCCCCGACTGAAGCTTAACCCGACCCCACGCCCTTGCTCAATCAACCAGAAACCATTCCTAACCCCACTCTAAGCCCCCCCCCCAGCCCAACCCTAAATCAAACCCAAACCAACTGGAAGCTAACCCTGAAACGACCCAACCCTAAGCCCACCCTGAATAAAACCCTTAGCAACCCCTACATTCAAAATCCACCAGAATCCGACCAAAGCCAATCCGAAGCCAACCCTGAAGCAACTCGCAACCAAGCGCAAAGCAAACCTAAATTCACCTTTCAACTTCAACTTTAGCTGAGCCGTCTGAACCAGCCCTAAAGCCACCGCAAATGAGCTTGAAACTGGCCTGCAACTTTGGAAATCACGCTAAACCTCTAAACCCACCCCGACTCCCCCCACTCCAAAGCAACAAGTGCTCGCATTTGTTGTATTACAGAGTTGGTTGTCTCTCGTGGACGACTTTTTCGAGCCAGGTGCTGCCACTGGTGGCCATGGAGCCCGGCGCAGCGCGCGTCTCTTTTTGCGGCATGCCGATGCCGAAACGACATGCCGAAACGACCTGCGAGGCATACTCGCATGCCACCCAGATCTTACTGCCCGAGCTTCGCGGCAGCTTGGCCGCCATGGTGAGGTTGAATCGAGTCCACTCGGCTGAGCCCGGCAAATTGTGTGGGGAGGAGAACAGGTTTGGGCCGCGAACTGATCGCATTCTTGGATATTTTAACGCCTCCGGCTCAGGCCGCCGATATTACAGGCCTGCTTTCTTATTTGAGTCCCTTTGGTTGTTGAGATGCTTTCCCCCCCCCCTTTGCCCTCTAAGATCCTTTCCCCCCATTCCCCCCTGAGGCCTTTTCCCCCGCTGAGATCTTCTCCCTTTTCCTCCCTAAGATCTTTTCACCCCTTTCCCCGTTGAAATCTTTCCCCCCCATTCCCCCCTAAGGCCTTTTCCCCCCTTGAGATCTTCTCGCTTTTCCTCCCTCCCCCTTCCTGTTGAGATCCTTTCCCCCCTTTTCCCCCTAAGGCCTTTTCCCCCCCTGAGATCTTCTCCCTTCTCCTCCCTCCCCCTTTCCCTGTTGAGATCCTGTCCCCCATTTCCCCCAAAGGCCTTTCCCCCCCTTCAGATCTTCTCCCTTTTCCTCCCTAAGATCTTTTCCCCCCTTGAGATCTTCTCCCTTTTCCTCCCTAAGATCTTTCCCCCCTTTCCCTGTTGAGATCCTTTCCCCCCATTCCCCCCTAAGGCCTTTTCCCCCCTTGAGATCTTCTCCCTTTTCCTCCCTAAGATCTTTTCACCCCTTTCCCCGTTGAGATCCTTTCCCCCCATTCCCCCCTAAGGCCTTTTCCACCCTTGAGATCTTCTCCCTTTTCCTCCCTCCCCGTTCCTGTTGAGATCCTTTCCCCCCTTTTCCCCCTAAGGCCGTTTCCCCCCCTGAGATCTTCTCCCTTCTCCTCCCTCCCCCTTTCCCTGTTGAGATCCTTTCCCCCATTTCCCTTAAAGGCCTTTCCCCCCCTTCAGATCTTCTCCCTTTTCCTCCCTAAGATCTTTTCCCCCCTTGAGATCTTCTCCCTTTTCCTCCCTAAGATCTTTCCCCCCTTTCCCTGTTGAGATCCTTTCCCCCCATTCCCCCCTAAGGCCTTTTCCCCCCTTGAGATCTTCTTCCTTTTCCTCCCTAAGATCTTTTCACCCCTTTCCCCGTTGAGATCCTTTCCCCCCATTCCCCCCTAAGGCCTTTTCCCCCCTTGAGATCTTCTCCCTTCTCCTCCCTAAGATATTTTCCCCTCTTTCCCTGTTGAGATCCTTGCCCCCCATTCTTTTTAAGGCCTTTTCTTTCTGAGATCTTCTCCATTTTCCTCCCTAAGGTCTTTTCCTTTGCCCCCTTTGCCCCCTAAGATCTTCCCCCCCCCGTGTCTGTTTTTGACCAATCATTTGGCTCAAGGCCCTTCTGTACCATAGCAATACTCATGATTGCGTGACAAAGGAACCTTTGCAGGCCGCTTACAGGATTATACAACAAGACAATCCACCAGGGACAATCCATCCTCCAATCATCCATATTGGCATATTGGACTCTAGATCCAGAGACCATATAACCCCCCCTCTACTACCACAGGGTACCAGTTCCCTTCTGGGATAGGTACCCCGGCAGTGGGCCTCAATTGTGGTAGCGGAGCGCGGAGCAGTCTCCCAGTCTTGCTGACTCGGCGCCCTTATCCTGACCTTGCTTGGGGGCGCCTGTGGGAGTCGAATCCGGGAGGTCCAGGATTAGAGGTGATAATAACTTATCCTTTCCCTCAATTGTGGCAGCGGAGCAGGTTTTCCGCAGAGATCCAAGGAAAAATGTCATCCGATGGAGAAGGCTTCATGGAGGCCTACTCAAGTATGGCCAAATCGTCCGGCTATACGGAGGAAACACTCAACTTATCGATGACCGCCAAGCAGCCGCCATCGTACGACGGAAAAGTCAGCTGGTTCAGGTATGAAGAACTCGTGGACGACTGGGTGACAATCACCACGGTGGAAGCACCCAAGAGAGGACCACTCCTCAAAAGCAGACTCACAGGAGATGCTTACATGTACAAGGCAGTCCTCCAAAATGACCTTTTGCAAGATCCTGATGAAGGAGTCAACTATTTCAAGAACACGCTGAAGAAGTACTTCCTGAAAGGTGCGACCAACGTGTATCTGTACAGGCTCCTCAGTTTCTTCAATCACAGAAGGCAGAACCAAGAGTTCCTCATTTTCACATCCAAATTCGAAACCCTTCTCATCAGACTGAAGGCAGCATGGATGGACTTGATGCCCGTCTCCACGGCACAGTCCCCATCATTTCGACAGTCCGCGCAGGACGCAAACAGCAGAACAATTGCTCGACATCAGCGAGCAGCCGGTACTCGAGCACCGCCTCCAGTCCTGCTAAATGGGGATGATCCGACAGTCCTCAGACAGTGTATCACGGGAATGCAGGACAGACAGCGGGATGCATTTCCCTTCG